TATCATGCTATATTTTATTGAGTATAAATTTAAGTTCTTCTTTATTACAAAGAAAAGATATAGATATAGCTCTGGCAACGAAGAAATTAGTAATTTTTTTACAATATAATTATAAAACTTCGACAACATTTTGAAATGATTATTGATGAAGTAGATGAAATGGCTACAAAATTTAAAATTTCAATTACTTTTGAAGATTAAAGAAAAAAGATTACTAAAAAATAATTTGATAAGCTTGCATAGAATCATAGATTTGACAATTCAAAAAAATTATTTAAAATAACATTTTTTTTGTCACTGTTATAGACTTTATAACATTAAAAAAAAAAACAACAGATTTTTAGGTATGAAGAAGGTTTTAGATTTATTTTTTTTTAATATCTACAATATTATATTAACTTCAACAGATACATAATTTAGAGATAACACAATATTATTACGACAGTAATATCTAAATAACTTTTCTGAATCATTACTGATTTAAATATTATTTAGTGTAAAAACATTAAGAAGAAAAATCGAAAAAATTAAAACTATAAGAGAATTAACTGAATTTTTATAATTAAATATTATGATATGAGCAGTAGTTTTCCGGAGGTGTGTTCATTATTAATTATATTTTTAACGATATATGTAACAGTAGCTACAGCTGAATAGTCATTTTAAAAATTAAGAATTATAAGGAATATTTTAGAAATTCAATGGGGTAAGAACGACTATCGGATACCGCGTTAATGAACATACGATTAGAAGCTAGAGAAGCAAATCTCATGAACGTTATGTAGATTATTAACAACTTTATGAATTTAAAAGCTCGTGAAGTAAAATTTTAACTGTTTTAACTGATTTATAAAATACATCATTAAAGGCATATAAACTTACAATTTTCTTTTAAACTTATTTTCAAAAGGAGAAGGGCTCTTTAAGTTTTTTTCAATAGGTCTGAATTTTTATATTTACGCCACTGTATATAAGTCATATAAGCGACAAGAAATGTTTGTTTTGGCAGCTTTGATTCATAATAAAATCTTTCGGTAACGTATAATCTAAATCTGGCTCAGGGAATACTTTTCTCTTGGCATTTGAATTATCTCACCACGCGTGATTGTAAATATAATGTTTGCTTTTGCAAACTAATTTTTGGGAAAGCTAAAAGCTCAACAAGCTATACGCAGAACTTGGAGATAAATTTGAGTTATTACTGTTCTGTTAATAACTTATACATAGAAATGGTTCTTATTAACTATTTTTGTCTGATGTAATCAATTGTGCTTATAAATAAATTCAACCATTACAACTTAATTATAATATTAATAATAATCTTTACACATAGAAATAAATACTAAATATTTTGTACGCATATCAGTTGGTAAATATTTTTTAAGGATATTTTATTTTATTGTACTATATATTTTATAATTTAATTAGTATAATTAATTTTTTTTTCAAATACAGCAGGTTGAACAAAAAAAAAAAAAAAAAATTGCTTACATATTATAATAATATAATATTGTATACAAGTATATGTAGGTACATAAAGACAGTTTAAAACTGCATTCCTACATTCCAAATCCATCGTTGCCTAAGACCTCAGCGTCCTCTATTATATATTTTTATCAGTAATCTTATATTATTAGCCATCAGCTATCAGTGTTACGTACTATGATACTGTACAATATTACTATTGTATTGATGTAAGATAGATTCTTAATAATTCCTATATTAAAGTTTTTAGCCTTGAAAAAGTAGACTTACATTTCTTGTCAGTTATGTTAAATGGGCCACTCGATGTTCCTGATCTTCTGCTTGCTGCTATGCCGTTTAGAGACATTAGAGTGAATTTTCCTTTCCACTTTAGTTGACTATAGTTTTGGCTCATCTATACTAACATTGCATTATATATATTGTATGATTAGTAATTTAGCTTTGGTTCTGTGGATTAATTTTATTATATATGTATAATTTTGTGAATTATTATTCCTTATAATTATACCACATTTATTTTACCAACCATGTTAAATGTTCATTGGTGTTAAATAAAACAATAATAATAATGATAATAATAATAATAATAATAATAATAATAATGATAATAATAATAATAATAATAATAATAATGATAATAATAATAATAATATTAAAACTAAAGGATTTAATATGTATTTAGATTAATGGACAATTTTACGGAATTTTATGAAAAAAGTTTTAAATAATTAAGTTTATTTTGTTATTGTGGCTCATCGAGAGTAATTAATAAAATTAAGATTATATTATAATCTTGTTTATATTATTGAAATACATTTTTGTAGACAGTTATGTAGTAAAACACAATTGTTTATTTTAATACGGACATTTTATGTTAATTATCAATTTTTGTAATTCAAATGAATAAATACAAAAAAGTTTTCTCGTCAAAAAATACGAGTTGAAATGTATAGAAAAAATGTTTGGTTGAAAAAAATTCATAAAAGTTAAAACTTATCTTTTCAATTTTAGGATGAATTAATTATTCTTATTGTCTAATATGTTAATTAGTATTAAAACCACTTAAATGTGTAGGGTTATGTTTACGATCAGAAAATTACGTTCATACAACATTTAATATTACATTTTTTATCTTTAATATTGTAATTGTTTTGTAACAAATGTTATTATACTATAAATTATTTTTACATTCTGGCAGTTGTTTATTTTTTTAGCACTAAAAATTTCTTTAAGTGTACAATATAATTGTTAAAAAATTAAAAAAAAAAACATGGCTGTATTATTTAGATATTATTTTTATTAACGATAATTTAGTTACGTGAAGATTTAAAAATAATAATATTAAAAACTGTAAACGAAAATTACAAGATACGACATATACATTCTGTCACATCTGTATAGTAATTTCAGTGTGTCACAATAGACTTAAAAATTACACTGTAGAACATTTTCTAAAAAAACAACATACGTGTATAAAAAAAAGTCTAATTGTAAATCATTTAGCAAGTGTTCCAATATATTTGAAGTTTTTATAATAAAAATATTTTAACTAATTACGATTCATAACATTATATATAACTCGCAATAGTTTTACAGGAATTTGGAATAGAATTACAACGTAATACGCACATTAATATGTATTTTGAACGAAAATCCCACGTAATAGATTACAAAGCCTAGAAGACAATAATTTTATAATATATGTATTATGTGTATTGTGTACTATACTTTATATAGTATATATAAACGGTATATTTAATAATATTGAATTCTAGGAATCTCTTACTAGTTATCAGGGAGGTTGAAAAATAATTTTCGAGTTTCAGAAAAAAATTTAAGCAGCAGTTGCTAGGTATATTTATTTTTATTTAAAATGCAATTTACGATGCACATTTAATTAAATGTTATAACTTATAATACTATTTTAGTAAAAATTAATGGTCTAAAATGACAAAAATGTCTACAAATTTCTTACTAATTAGAATTTTTAAGAATATAATTTTATATTGTGACATTAATGATCTTAGTTAGAGATATTATACATATTTTTGTCTTAAACCAGTTTCTTAAAATTTGGTATTTGTAGAGGATCACTAACATGTATATGTATTTTTAGGTGGCCTCAGATAATCTTGAGTAATATTTGTTCCTCAAAAAGGACTTTTTTGAGAATGACGTTTCACACACACACAAACACACACACACATACATAAGGAGCCAAATGCATGGTAGTGAATTTTATGACTATTTTTTATAGTTCGCATACTTTTCAAAAACATACTTTCTACTTAGCCCAAAAATCTTCAGTAGATGCAGTTTTATGTGGGGTATTCAATAAGTTTGGAAATGGTCTTTACACTAATTGGGATTGATAAACGATAATATTTTAATATAATTAATGAGGTTATTAAAGATTTTACATTATAAATGTACAACAGTATTATCTTGCTTCATGTAAGTATTAAAATATGCATACATTAATTAAGAGTTTCCAAACTTATTAAACACCTGGTATATTTAGGTAAAAGTCAATAATATCCAATTAAAATGAAGATTCTGTTATTCTCAAGAACTTCACAACTACGTCAGTCCATTATCTCGTTGAAGGAGCTTTGTTTTTAAAAATGTTGACAGATTTTCAATCTCTTAAAAGTATTATTTTGAATTTAGTTAGTAATTCTTATTAAAAAATGGATATAAAGATTTAAAATATATTGCAGTCTGTTTCAGATTTTTTTTTACTTTTAAGTATTTTTAAGTATTTTTAACTTTTAATAACTTGTTCGAGTATATTAAGCTTTCAGTTGATACTTTGTATGGGATCGCATGATCATCAACTTGTCGTTCTCTTATTCAAGTCTAATATATTATATACCGATAGTTATAGACGTTTTATCTTAGACAGATACAATATATATAATGCAGGCCAAGTGTTTTACTGTAATAAAACTAACATCGCATACTACATAGATTATGGTTATATTATATCATTACTGTCGTTGATCAAAGATTAAAATAAGTTATCTATTGAAAATATATCCGAGATAATATTGACAATGCTTAATTTATTTAGAAAATTTCATTATTGATTAGGTTATTATCAACAACACTAATTATTTTTACACGTAAGTAGAAATAGTCAAAGTTGAAAATATTTTAAAATTATCTTTAGACAGTTATTCTTTTACTCCTTCAAGTTTTTTATAATATATTTTTGGAGTTGAAATACTCTGGCAAAACGTTCATTCCGTGTAATTTAATAACGGTATCGGATATCTATGACTGAAGAGTGTAGGTATACGGCATTAAAATAAAAAATTTCGAGTCGAGATGGTGTTGGCGTTAGAGTTAGAGGCGGATGACGAATACAGGATGAGAAGGTAAATGGGGAGGATATGGATGATAGGAGGAGCTTTGTCGAGGACGCAAAACAGACAGCGCGTTATCGTTTGTCGCCGCCGCCGCCCGGCATGAATGAGCAGTATAAACTAACCGTTTTATACGCGAGCCAACGTGCCACCGACTCAGTGCAAGGCATGCGATTAACATGGTCACACAAACGGTACTGTCGTCAACGTGCGCAGCATTTGACGACAAATCCGTCAGACGCGACTGCTACTTCGGCACGTGTGTTCCGCACAAGGTAAGTGGTTGATGTATTTCGTACATTCATTTATTTTACACACTAGCTGGTTATATTATATAATATGGCTCATTGAAATATGTTATTCATCTTTAATCTTTATATTGTTATATGATATTAATTATTTGTCTATCAAGTTTAAAAAAAAATACTATTTTATTTAAAATTTAAAAATAGTTGCAATTATAGTACCTACACGTTTGTTTGGTTTACGATTATGATGAAAAACCAGATGAGTTGTTCATTCGATATAGTGTTAGAATATAATGCGATCGAAATTTCCATTTATTTTTCACACGTTAACTGTTGTTTTGATATCGTCTAATACACAGCGGTTTTGTGAGGCACTCTAGAGTCTAGATAGTCGGTATTACGACGTCATCACCAAAATCGTTTTTATTTTAATGAAACGGATGAAGCAATGCTTAGGTACACGAATTACAAAGTATTAGTTATCCACCCACCCGTGTACCAAGTGTGTATGAATACTTTTTTGTCGAATTTATATGAACTGCATGTTTAAACGACTAGTGCATGACGCACATTAAAAAAAAACCATTAGTTTGTTATACACAGATCAGAGATAAAAATGCAGTTTGTGTCATTTATTAAATCGAGTTCTAATATATGGTTTACATGTATAATTTTCAATTAAAATTCAAAGTTTATGTTTTAATTCAGGTTTAAAATAAATGTTTTTGTTTAAATATCGTATCTTATGAATGCGAATTTGTACCGATTTATTCATTGTATATGCATAGGTATAACATTTTCGATTAGCATATTTTTATATGCATGAACGAACCAATACATCGTTTTATTTTTGGATGATTTAAGTTGTCATAAAATATATTTATAACTAAAATCAGATAATTCGATTTTGATTTTTATCACGATCGACGATTGAACATTTTTTAAATATCTTGATTAATTTTTTCACTGAAAAAAGTTCTGATGGTTCTAAATTCCAATATTAAGTCATAATTTAGCAATGTTAAATTACTATTAGGTAATTTGAATGGTTTTTTTTTTCATTTTTTCAATTAGTTTATAATTAAAAAAAAAAAAAAATAAAATAAAGTAGATTGCAGATTAATTTTTTTTCAAATATGCTGTCATGTTTTGAAATCGGTAATAACTTTTTTGTAACTTATTAGTTATTTTATGTTTGAAATGTGAAATATCACGTTGATTTAGTTGTAATAGCTAACGAATGCAACACGTTTCTTGCAGTACTAAGTTCCTATAAATAGTAAATGAACAATTTTATATTTAAGTTAAAACTGTTTAATATTTTGATTTTTGACATCTGTTGGGTTATTAGCTTAAAATAAGTAGGTAGAAAACAAATGAAAATAGGAGTGGGTTAAAAATTAAAAGTTAAAAGTATTCAATAAAAAATTATTATTTTTGTACAACTAAAAATGTCTATAAAGAATATTTAAAATCGTTACAAATCATTTGTTTTTTAAATAAAAAATATTATTGTGTTTTTATATGTATTTATTTTATATAGTCTAAATTAGGGACTAAAATATTTATATTTTATCATAGTGTAATTAAAATTGTTTTAAAGTAATTAATTTCTGTATATTCGTTATAAATTTAAATTTATTTTATTTATAAGTGAAATTTTTGTAGACAATAATATGTAAGTGGTAATACACGTCTGGTGCATACATTTTACATATAAACTGATATTTTATTTGAGCACAATTATATTTTTATTTAATTTCATTGCGATCAATAATTTTTAAATTTTAATTAAATGCTTTTTGTTGTTTATTAATAACCGTAAAAGTATCAAAAATAACTAATAAAAATAATTACAAATATTTTTCTATTAACTAATATATACTCGTACATTCTAGAGTTATTGTAGTTTTATTATTAGAGAATTAAAAAAAAAAAAAATGTACGATTGTGCAATTGCACAATGAATGCAATATAATAGATGTACTTATAATTGTATAACAATAAAATTATTTGTACATAATTTTATTGTTTATTTTCTATTAAAATGTTTTTATATTTTATCATTGTTCAATTTGATACGAATAATTAATAGTAAATATGTAAAGATAAATTTTAAAGAGTGCATATTTACATGCTATATACACAAATATGTTATTTCATTATTTACCGAATTTTTTATTGTCGAAGAAAAAACGTGACTTTCGATAAAAATTAAAAAAATTCTTGTGAAATGTATTTATTCATTATTGTGCATACCTTTTAAATTTACGATCACTAATTCGTAATGAGTAAATTAATCGTTTTATCATTATTTTTTTTTTTTTATTAAAGAAAATAACTATATTCAAAAAAGTTTCTGGCAGTGTTTATTTTTCCTAAAACTTTTGACTGTCGAATCATATAGTATTTGATTAATTTCTATCTATGTACAATTCACGAATGATCTAAGTTTTGTATATTATGTCCTTTACATAATGTTCCTTAAAAGTTATGAGTCATGAACACACTAAAACTAAAACAAAAAGTGATAGGTAATAGATAGAATATTAAGAAGTATGAAGTGAGTACTAAAATATTTTTCTATAAGTTGTAAATTTTAGATGTAAATGTTCTTCTCCAATACAATAATTTTTCATAGCACATTTATTGCCTATTCATTGCGCCGTACAATACTAATGTAAAATTTGTCATTAGTGGACCAGCAGATAATCGCTTAATTTACGCAGGCTATTAGATAATAGTACTTTATTAATTATTACAATGTAGAAACATTTAATTTCAAAATATTATTTTAAGAAGAGTTTGATTCAAAACAGGATATTTTTTTGAAGAAGTGCGCGTTATCTGTACGCGCTTTGAATTGGAGCGTTTTACAATTTAAAATGTACATAGAGACAAACCATTTGTCTAAAATAATGAAAAATATGATTATCCATTTTATTAGAAATTAAATTTTCCCGCAATAATTAAGAAAACTCTAATACACAATACAAATTTGATCTTTTTACTATACATTATGTTCAGTATATTAAAAAACACATCATATTTAGAATAGATTTAAATGTCAAGTATAAAGATCACAATAAGTAAGATTATTGGTTTTGATAAATGATAAGATACGCACATTTGATAAATATTTTAAAAATACAATTCGTAATAAATGGATTTAATTATTGTTAAATTTAGATTTTGAGATAATACTTATTATATTTTTATTTTAATCAGTGTAAGTTTATAGCATAATTATTATTATTCCTATTAAAATGCAAAATGTTTCCATAATTTGTTAGTTACTTAAGTTTTTAGTTTTTTCTGTTAAAAACTGCATATACTAGAAAATGCGTTTCCGGTTCAATGTGCCATCTTCAGAAAAATTATTATTAAGCTGTAGATTTTAGGTATAACCTAAATGTCCTAAATCCTAATAATATGATATATAAAATATAATATAAGATATTAACAGTAAAATTTTTATTATAGGTTTAACTTATAATAATTACTAAAAAAATAAAAAAAATTGAAAAGAATTAAAAAGAATTCGTTATAATAAATTATAAACTTGATAATAACACGTTACGAAGGTAATATTTCAAGTATACCCAATATTTAAGGGGTGGCTGAAAATGTTTGATACTAACTATTAAAAAGGTAAAAGGAAATCAATAACAAAACTAACTATGGTGCCAATATGCTGTATAATAATAGTAATAATAATATGGTGATATGACCAATGTATTATGTGTTTTTAAGTAATTTGCAGGTTTTTGATCACGTATATATATTAATAATAATGTGTTAATAGTTTTTTTCATATTTCATCATACTATATTAATTTTCATTTTAAAAATTAAAAACAGTACTTAATTATGTTTACTACAAATTTGTTATCAGTGAAACCAATAACCATACACTAACTGGGAAAAGGGAAAACAGATTATACGCGTCGTTATTATCGATGGTTTCATTTCTGACGTGCGTTTTTTCAGATTTTTTTTATTATTTTCATTTATTGACTTATATTTTAAAATGGTGCCATATCTAATAATTTTAGAAGACAACAATTGTTAAATTTAAAAAATTTAGTAACGACCACTACCACTGTATAATGTATCAAATATCAGGACACTAAAAGTTGTAACGTAACGATGCAAGTGCCAAATTGTATAAAAGAGATGTTTATATAATTTTTTAAAATATTACAAAATTCGTGTGTTATTTGTGTTTAATTTTAAGAATATATTCAATTATAAAATAAATAACAGATTACTCAAAGCAGTATCTTTAAGTTTTACTATAAAATATGTATAATATGGATACATTTTAAATGCTTATAACGTATATTTTTCTATAGTTACTTTAGTCGTCTTATGATATAAATGAAACATTTTTCATCTTGGTTATCGACGTAGATGATTTGGATGATCATACACACAAATTATTAAGCCACTTGTTTTCGATTATACAATGTTTAAAAATTATTAGAAAATTTGAAAAACCTTTAATTATAAAAACTTAAATAGTTAAATGTGAAATATAGTATTTGTCAAAAGTTGCACACATGTAGGTAAATCATTAAATTTTAAAACATCGAAATCTGTATGTGTAACCATTTTATACTTAAGGTGGTAAGAGTATATGTAGGTACATATAATTATTATATAATATGCACGTTATATATCTATATGGTACATATTTTATGTAGGTAACTGTGGAAAGAAAACAATAAAATTTGAAAAGCAATTAACCGGCGGCGGCACGTCGACGAAAATGCATAATGCGAGTCGAATACAGTTTATCGTCTCACCACCATAATATAACACAACCGTGAGCGCAAGAATTCGTATCACAAGATAGTCGGTATACATGGTTGCCCCGGGTTGTTAATTCACCTGATTTTGATACGTGTACGGTGTACCTATGATTATGTAGTGTGTTGAGTTATGTATGGATGGTACACATATATTATATTATATTTTTAATTGTGTTGTTTTACATATTATACTACGTATGTGCATTGTGCACTG